ATACCAGCTGGAAGGTTATCTGTTTCTGATGATGTTAGATTATCAAGTCATGACAATGTTGATGGTGGGATGTCAGGAGCAGACCATGTTAATGCTAAGAGAGTCAAAGGGCGTTTTGCTGAATACTTTGGGGAGAACACTGTTATTGGAAGTTGCTGCGTCTTTTTTCTTCATTTCATGAACAAGTTGCTGCAAAGTTGCAATCCTTAGGTGACCATATAGGTAACTTTCATGCTGCATTCCATCCAATGACTTTATTCCATAAGGTTCATAAAATAAGGGAGAATTGAAAACAAGCACTGCAATATCACAACAGCTTTTCTCAGCGATTGTCAACAGAAGTGCTGCAGAAATTTTTAAAACAAGCAATATCTGACTGTTTAGTCAGGGACACTGACCTCTTTTCCATTAGATTGTCAAATTAAAAAATGATAATAGGCAATGCGACAAAAGCCATCCTGTGTGAATGCACTTTCATCAACCATAAAGATATAGTAATTAATAGAGTTAAATCTTAGTGATCACATTGCATAATAAGTTTGTGTCTGGTTAATTCTTGATACTAGAAATCCAGAAACTATCCATCCATGTAATATGAAAAGTAGAGACATTTATTAAAGAAGATACAAGATACAAGAAATCTTGTACATAGGACAATGATGTCTCAGTCCCCTTCAAGGTAGGTACCTTGCGACCTCACACAGTTCTCCCAACATCTCTTCTACTGTTCAAAATATTCTGCAAAATCCTTTGAATTGCCATCAGCCACCCCATTGTATTTTCTTGAATGTCATTGATGGTCTGATATATCATCCTTTTCGAAAGTGATTTTAGTTTTTGGAAAATCCAGAAGTCTCAGGGTGCCAAATCTGGACTATGGGTGGGGGGTGAGTCACCTGGGTGATTTGATGTTTTGGCAAAAAACTTGCACAAGATTTGAGCAGGCACATTGTTGTGATGAAGCTGCCAATCACCAGAAGCCCATAGCTGCTGCCATTTTGGTTCTATTGCATCTCTCAAATGACAAAGAACATTGAGGCGGTGCTTGTCATTAATTATTTGGCCTGGAGGAGCATACTCATGATGAACAACACTTTCCCAATCAAAAAACACAGGTAATGTGGTCTTAATCTTGCTGCAACTTTGCCGTGCCTTCTTCAGGCATGGAGAACCATGCAACTTCTGTGTGAAGACTGGGCCCTCGTTTCTTGATCACAGCTGTAAACCCACAGTTCACCTCCGATTCTGACCATCTTGAGGAAGTCTCGTTCATTGGTAGCAGTAGAAATCAAGTCATTAGCAACTGTAGCGCTATGTTCCTTCTGCTCTGGTAGCAGAAGCCACCAAAGGGGTTTTTCCATGACACATTTCATTCCAAGATCCTGTGTCAAAATCTCGGACACAGTAGTTTTTGGAATCCCCAGGTCAGCTGCTAGTTCTCGCACTGTCAGTCACTCATCTTTGTTGGTTGCAGCCCTTACACATTCAACATTCTCAGGTGTTCTGCTGGTTGCAGACCTTAGAGAATGTGGATCACTTTTAAGTTTCTTGACCACTTTTGAAGCATTTGTGTCACCCGTTATTGTTTGCACTGCACTCATTGCATCACCCTCGAAAGCCTTCTGAATCATCTGAATAATTTCTCAGGAGGGATGTTCGAGCTTATCACAATATTTGATGCTCTACTTCCTCAGATGTTTTGAGCATGATGGCTACATAGTACACAAGCGCACTCAGTGGAGTCTACCACACCCACTGACTAGTACATTGAAGTCATCATTGTTCACTCATAAGCATTCCAAGCCCACTCTCCTTGGCTGCCATGTTACATCAATGTCGCACAAACCATTCTCGTTATATTAACAATGGATGGACTTTTTTCAGACAGACCTCATCATATACAAATATGGTCACTTAATTTTTTAAAAAGTCACATTGAAGTAAAAAGATTAGATATTTACCATTATTTTGTCATAAGTCAATCAAAATTATACCTACTTTTTGTCAGATCAGCAAAAAATTTTTTGGTGTGTCACAGAACTTTAGTAATTAGTTTATGTGTGTCATGAGATGTGAAAGGTCAAAAATTGCTGGTCTAATGACATAGACAGCTACTATGTGGTTAATAGGTGGGTAACACAAATACTGTGTACCCTGTGTATTCTTTATTTCTTTTCATTCTTACTCTATGAGAAGATGGATGTTAGCTAAACTGACTGTGGTAATCATTTTCTGATATATGTAAATCAAACAGTATGCAGTGTATTTTTGTTTCTTTTGATGATCATGTGTTATTGAACTTGTCTTTTAGAAGTCTACTTTCTCTGTCCTTCCCAATTTTAATAAGAAAAAAAATTAAGTTACCTTTGTTTTCTCCCTACATAGTTAGACTTGTGCTTTTGTCATTTAAAACAAATATCCCTATTAAACTACAGACAATTAGTAATGATTTGAAAATGAATCAACAAAAACATAATTAGTAGTTATGTGATAATTTAATCTCTGCTATGGTGATATAGTTCAATATTTTTTAATGTTTGATCCTTCACAGAGATATTATCTTAACCAAAAGATCTAAATAACATTTAATGATAATAAAATGAATGAAGGAATTTTAAGAACTAGGGCAGAGAAATTGAGAAGAAAAGTTTGGGATTGTTGATTATTTTGACAGTTACCATGAAGCTGAAAATGTAGTAATTTTTTAGACTATTGGTGACATGTAATATTAAATATATATTGTTTATGGAATTATGATTTTAGAACTGTTGCCATTATAATAGAACTGCTATAATAAGAATAAAAGGAAAAGAAATATGTAATGCTAAGATTAAATAACCCTGTGTGGGAGTAAAATTTAAACACAGAAGATATTCTTAACAAGGCCTAAGATTATAGAGTTTGTGATTAAGATGGAAGTTAAGTTCACAGCATGGGTGATCAAGTTTTTTGTCCCCTGATATCTTTTAGAATAAGAAAACAATTTATCAGATGCATTTGCCAATGGACAAACTGAATGACATATTACCAGCTCAAAGTCTCCTATATTGTGAAGGTGTGTGATGAGATACACAGCCTTCAAAATAGCCCAAGTGTAAGAATTTCCTGTTCAAACTTTAAGTGACACATTAATGAGAAATCTGCTTTTTCCACCCATGCTTCTCTCTGAGCCCTCACAGGGCAGTCTGTGAAGACCACAGATATTGTCCGTTGACAGGACTAACCAGGTCTCCTATTGAAGATGCAGGACTTTCTGGCCTACAAAAGGTATGTGTCTCTACTCTCCTGTTTGTCTCTTAGCCTCATCTCATGTGGGGGTGGGGATTACAATGCAAGATGTGATACAAGTGTGATACAGTTAATATACAATCAGATCAAAGAAAACATTGGTATCTTTATTTAAATAATTTAAGGTAAAAAATCAAGAATAAAATATGAAATATATTGGAGGATATCTTGATTTATTCAAATTCTTGCTTGTTGAGAATTACTCAAGTGACACATACGTCAATAACTGAGTGTGTTAATCAAAACAATTTAAAGAAAATGCTACAAGAATCATGAAAAGGAAGACTTTTTTTATTTTATAATCACTTTAGATACAGTTATACATTATTTTATATTTAGGCCAGCCATTAAAGATATTTTTAAAAATAAATTATATTAATTGTGGAGGTCAAACGTATTTTATAAACTTAATTAAAGAAATGTAGTTGGCTTTTAATAAAAATCAGGATGAAGTACTCCCATAAAATTCTAACCGAAGCTAAATTATAAACAATCAAAAGACTTTTTAAAAATTGAGCAACTGTTGTGGGAAAATGTACCATACTGATAAAGGGACTCTTTGCCTAATGAATTAAGCTACAACACCCAACTGATACAAATCAGAATCAATGTAAAAATGTGTTTAATAATTAACATAACTAAAATATTGAGAGCTTATAAAAAGGTGAAATATTAAATGCTTTACATGAATTATATCCACATGTTTTTATTCCTACTTTATATTAGTAAACTAAGTGGCTAGATACTAAATCGCTTTATAAAGGTCATACACTGCAAATTTCAAAGCCAGAATTAATTTTAGAACTCACTGACTACACAGCTCATTGACTGAATTATTAAATTACATTATCTGATTCATTATTATTGCTTAAAATATGAAAGTACACTCACTGACTTTAACATCCATAAGAACTGTTTGGAAGTTTGAAACAACAGCATTCTAATATAAATGATCTACACATTTAATTATCATGTTATGGTTTTACATCTTTGCTCTTAATTGCCAATTTTTTTTGTGTAACATAAATATTAAAAAAACTTTATTGTTGCTTTGTTCTTAACATTTGTTTAGGTTTTCAATAAGTTTAGCATGACTAAGGTATTTCAATGTATGCAACATATTTTTCATTTCTAATAATTTATCAAGTGTTCAAAATAAGAGATATTTTGATAACACCTCATCCTCTTTAATAAATAAATGTATGTCACTAAATAAAATTGATGTAGTTCAGAAAATTACTATATATGCCAACACAACTAGTGCCCACCTTTAGAAAACTCAATCTTTAATCATTATTAAATTTCAAATTTATCACAAATATTGTGCCTCTTTTTTATAATACATTTTATTTTTAATACTAGCATTTTAATGGTGTTAAAATATTTCTGTGGAATCTGACTTTAAATAAAAAAGATGTTATTATTTATGAAATTATTTGAATTATCACTAGTATACAGCTTTTTATTGCTCATGAATAATATATAATCCAATGTAGAATATGTTAAAAATTGTATCTACCATGAGGAACTTGTTTAAAGATCTAAGAAGTTTGTAAGAAGAACATTAGATTCTTCACCTGGGAAATAAGCACAATACTCACCCTCTATCTTACCCAGTGTTACTGTGAGGGATCTCTTCAACGCATGCATGTATCATTCAGTGATAAGCACACATTGCAGAGCACAGTCTCAGACACCACTCAGCTGCAGAGATGAGTGACCAAAGAGTAGCCTACACAGAACTGAATCTGGTTAAGGACTCAGACAGACAACGAATGAAACCTAAGGGCACTAGAGGCTCCATTCCAGTAACTGAGCAAGAAATAACCTATGCAGAACTAAATCTTCCAAATGCTTCTCAGGATCTTCAAGGGGATGACAAGAAGGACCACTGCAAAGGTAACACATTCAATAGACACAGAGTCTAACTGTTCTAGGATGTGCAGCTGGGGTGCAGAGGTGTGGGAAAGAGTAAGGAATAAACTCATATATTTTTCATCTTTAAGGATCAGAACTCGAAGTTGGAATATGGTATTTTAATATGAAAGCTGAGGCCTAATTTTATTCAGACATTGTTGCAAGTTGTAATTTTTGACCAGTCACTCATGGAAAATTATATTTAGTGAAAACGCAATGATACATTCTGAGAGGAAGATTACAGTGGAAGATATGGGTTTGGGGTCCAAGTTTATATATTTTATTCTCTGTGTGTAAACTGTCCAAACTATTGTCTCTCTCCCTCCTTCCTCAGTGTTTCCACTTCTCTCCCTGCAGCATCCCCATCACCTCCAGAAAAGCTCATTGCTGGGATCCTGTGCCTTGTCCTGCTGTCCACTGTAGTAGCGATAGCTGTTACTCATTGTAAGTAAATTATTGTAAGATTTTATGAAACTTTTTACTTTTATGTTCATCAGTGCCTCCAAATACTTCATAATATTAGAGAATAGAACTCATTTTAAAGTATGCCTTTAGACTAAGTGCAAGATTGTTATTCTGTATTTGTCCAAGGTATAAATATCTGCATTATTTTAAAAAGTAGTTTATAAATATATATACACACATATCTATATCCCATATATCCATATATATATATTCTTGTGTTATAATTCAAGCATGCTTTAGGACACTTTTATAGAGATATACAAATAAATTTTTCATATTGATTAATCCAAATAGTGTAATTAAGAGTTGGTGAAATTTTGTTCTTAATGCTTTTGAAATATTTTCCCTGTAATTGTCATTATTTCATTAATTTTCCTTGGTAAAATCTATTTCATTCCAGGTTATTTTAATCATAGACAATATACCATATTTCAAAGTAAGAAAAAAAAGTATTTTGATTTGTTTAGATCATTAATTTTTTATACTAATTACTTTTTTCAGCTAGTGTAATACCAGTGCAGAATAATTTTTCTTTCTTGTATAAAATATAAATTGTATATTATTTTATCAGGGAACCAGACAACAGAGAACCAGAGAACAGCAAACCAGACAACAGGGAATGAGACAAGTACATAATTATTTTCTACCTTCTGATATTACTACGGTTCATACTTTGTGTCTCACACAGTCAAAATTTATAGAGGTTCTTTTTTTGTTGTTTTTTTTTTTTTGGTGGGGGAACATAAATTATAACACCGGGCAAAAATGTACATATAAATAATGAGTATAAAACAAAGTATTTCTTATGTCAAAATATGAAGAAATATTCATTTTAAATCATCATACCCATTGTTGCCAATGGGCTCAAAGATAATTTTGGTTTTCTAAAAAAAGTAGCTTCATTCATTGACGTTCAGGACATGAGGAAAGTGGATATTTTTGTTTATGTGTTGGCTTAATATGGGCACATAAATTAGGGAATGAGAGGCTCACTCTTCTCTATGAGCGTGTGTGAGTGCATATGAGTGTATTATGTTATATATATACCCCTCTATGAGTATATATACATATGCTACACACTAATGTGTCTATACCTATGCAAATAATGAAATTAATTTTCATTTATAAAATTCATATTGTTCTTGGATAACAATCATAATCTTTCTTCAGCATATCATTATTGTAGATGTCCACCAGAGTGGTTAATATATTCCAACAATTGCTACTACATCAGTACTGAACAAAAGACATGGAATGAGAGTTGGATGACCTGTGTTTCTAAGAATTCTAGCCTGCTCTATGTAGATAATGAAGAGGAAATGGTAAGATTTTTAATGTTTACAACATTTTACTTAAAAGAGTACTTTATATTTTTATGGAATTAATTTGTATTGTTGTATATATCTGTCATTTATTTTAAATATTGCTAATATTTTATTGTTTGACTATAATATTTTATTTATATTTTATGGCATTAATATGCATTTGATAATTTTCAATTTTTGATTTTCATAGACAACCATGCTTCTATAAATGCTTTTTATCCTAAAGTGAACTTGGCTACTTAATTTTACCATGACCATGGAAACTATAGATATTATTGTTGCATGTTACAGACTGAAATTGGATGTTGAAATAGATGTTGCCAGTCCACTTCTGTGCACTCTCTCATCACTTTTGTTCTCTCCTCACTTAACCACTATTCTGATATTTTCATTACAAGTTATCTTTGCTTAATTTTGGATTTCATATAATGGGAATCATTCATTATGCATTTTATATGTCTCCATTAACTCCCACATAATATTTTTTCAATTAATCTATATTATTGCATTTAACTGAAGTTTGTTAATGTTCACTGCTATATAGTATATACCTGGCATTTTTAATCTATTCTACTCAGAATATAGATGTTTTTAATATGTGGGTATTATGAATTATTTAATAAAAATCTTTGTGTATGCCTTTTTTTCTGAATAGTATGTCATATTTAAAATAATTTATATTATATACAAGTATTACATGTAATATAGTTATATACTAGAAATGTTATGTTTATAATAATATAACTTATAAATTATTATAATTGTATGTGTGTAATTAAAATGTATTGTCTTTTTAAAAAGATTTTATTTATTTTTTTTAGAGGTGGGAACAGAGAGAGAAAGAGAGGGAGAAAAACATCAACGTGTGGTTGCCTCTCACGTGCCCCCTACTGGGGACCTGGCCTGAAACCCAGGCATGTGCCCTGGACTGGGAATTGAACTAGGGACCCTTTGATTTGCACACTGACACTCAATCCACTGAGCCACACCAACCAGGGTCTAATTCATTTCCTTAATATGTCTTATGTGAAACTATATTAAAAGTTGAAAGGTTATAACTTAGAAAAAAATCAACTTTATCTGGGTTTTCATTTTAAAAGTCATCTTTATTTTGGTTGTAAATATACAATTTACTTAGTTACTTAATATTTTATTTGACCCCATTTGAAGTCTCATAGCTTGCCTTATAAAACATTGCCTTTATAAACTACTATATAAGAATATTATAAAATATGAATTATTAACTAATATAATTCTCTTTACAGTATTCTGATTAGTATATTAAAACAACATTGATATAAGACCACTTTGCGTAGGTCAGCTGGTTAGAGCATCATTTGAATACACGAAGGTTGCTAGGTGATTCCCCATCAGTGCATATATGAGAAACAACCAAGGAATGCATAAATAAGTGGAATAACTAATTGATTGCTCTCTCTCTCTCTCAAATCAATAAAAATAACCAAACAAAGCAAACATTGATTTAAAAAAGGAGTTAAGTCAATTGGCATACATCTAATTCCTTTTTAAATAAAAAATGGTAAAAATGGTTACTATGCATGAAAATTAAGAAGAGCTTAAAAGCTTGTGCATTTTGAAATTTTTATCACAAAGTTGTTTTCATAATTGCCAGTTATAAAAACGATCACAACAATGTAAAGCACACCATGCAGAATATATTCAACAGTGTTTTAATAACCATTCACGGTGCCAGGTCGGCCCCAGACCTGTTGTGGTGGTCACCTCTCAAGGTATATACAGGCCAAAAACAATATTGAATGGCAACAGTAAGCAAAAACATTTTTTAAAAAAGTTGGTCTTCAAAATGAGTTCTGTGAAAATACCAATGTCACATTTTTCTAAAGCCAATTTATTAGTGTAAAATCATTCTCATTGTTTAGTATTAACAAAACTTGCATTCAAAATCTCAACATACAAATAAAAACAAGAGACAAAAGAATGATAATATACTCATTTAAAATATAAAGGCTACCCTGAATGGTATTGCTTAGTTGGTCATGCATCATTCCATAAAGGGAAATGTCACTGGTCCGATTCCCAGGCAGGGCACATGCCTGTTTTGTTGCAGGATCCGTCCGGGGCCGAGCATAGGAGTGGCAACTAATTGATGTTTTCCTTTCTTTCTCACTCTCTTCCTCTCTCTCTAAAAATAAATAAATAGAAACTTTAAAAAATAAATAAAATAAAATGTGAAGATTCAGACTTTTGTTTTATACTGCCATGCTAGTCCAGTTGTAGATTTCTATTTTTCTTTGATGGCTTGTGCATCTCATAGCAACATGCAAGTTTTTTTTCTCATATTCTGCTGCCTTGATGGTTGCTGGTTGGCTTGCTGGAGATGCACCCCTGCATTTTCAACTTTTGTTTCTATACTTCCACACCTCTTTGCTCATGAATTATCATTCTCAGATCTTTAAAAAGTTCATTAATATCCAAAATATCAGCTTCAAGTTGCCTAATAGAAGATCTTCTGTCTCATGAATGAGGCAGAAGTCATCCTCTGTAATTTCCTCATTCTGCACCTGACCTTCAGGGTGAATTTGGCTTTTCCAGGACACAAGGTTCCTTTCTTTTGAGCTCTCCTCAGGAATTCCATTGGATACTCCAGGGCTGGCTCCCCACTTGAGCAACAGACTCTTTCTCTTTCCCAGCAGCTGGCCTTTGCACCTTTGGAAAGTTGGTCAGTGATGTTGTGAATTCAGCCAGTAAGAAATCTCATGTATATTCCTTTCATGCTATTCATGGAGGGTGGCGGGAAGAGATCCAAAGTGTTTTATGGACTTACCTGTTGCTTTGGCCGGTTGGTTAGGATACTGCTGCTTCTGTTGCAGCTGTTGCCACAATTTAGGTGACCCTAGAGGTGTTCCACTTTGGTTCAGAGTCCTTTATTTTTCCACAAAATGTTGTATTATCTTCTAGATGTTGGATATGCTGGGCCAGCTGGGTGATGCCCCTTACAATTCCAGAACTGCAAGACATAGTTGATTTACTTATTCACTAACTTCATCAGATATTGTTGGGCTGTACAGTTTACTTAGCAGTCACCTCTTCTTCAAACTGCCGGCCAACTTTATTTGTTTTTACAAATGCAAATTAGTATACCAGCGTTTATTTAATTTCTCATAAAATTTGTTTTCTCATAGAATTTTTTGAACATTTTCAATATACCTCCATGGATTGAATGGTCCCAGACAAACAATAGTACAACCAATAGCAGGGTATTGTCCAGTGGCACAACTTTCTCTCCTGGACAGTAAGTTTCTTTAGAATGTATATATTTTACTCCCTTGTGCTTTCAAATTGGGAATTAATCTTTGAAATAAAAATCAATGTGTGAACAATTATGTGTAGAAATATTTTTTTGTGTAGGAATATTTTAAGAACTATTCAGATTTATTATGTAAATATTAATGTAAATAAATTGTTTATTAAATAATTAAGTTATGTATCACCAAATTAATGATTTATTATCTCTGTATTTCAGATTTTCAAACACTTCAGAGTTGGACAAGAGTTGTGCATTTGTGAGTTTTGACACACAGAAGGTGTATTTTGTATCCTGTTTAGAAAAAAAATTATATGTTTGTAAGCATCAGGCATTTTAGCTTCCTTTCATTTCATATCATGTTACTTTCACCATCTCTAAAGAACACATTTCTAGTTTCTTCAGGAATGCTGCAATTATTTTTGTAAAACTGATTTTTAAGAAATTGTTTTTGGACTGGTCTTAGTTTCACCACAAAATTAAGAGGATGGTACTGAGATTTACCACATCCCCTCATCCCCCTGCATGCGGAGCCTCCCTATTATCAGCATCATTCACCAGCGTGGGACAGTTGTCACTCAGAATGAGTCAATACTGACACATCAGAGTCACTTAAAGTCCATAGTGTATCTGACACTTCATTCTTGGTATTGTAGAATTGCTTTAAATCTATATTCATGTTAACTTTAAAAATATATATCCAGGAATACATTAAACATTTAAAAATTTACTGTTATTTATTAACATAAATCAAGTATGAATTATGAATTATAATAAGTACTGTTCCTTCCAAATTTAAAATAACATGAATAATTTTAGACACATTTCAATATAATTGATTTTACAAAACCCTGGAATGTTGAAAATGAGGACTGAACATATCAGGATAACAAGTTGTATAAGTCAGTTGAGTCAAGAGAGAGAACCAGGGAAGATTTAAAGCATTATTAATTATTTGTTGGATATAGTATGCAGAGAGGAGAGAGAAGAAAATTGCACAATGTATCATAGGGTTAATTAATGAAAAGTACCGAAAGGAAGAATCATATGGGAGCCGGGTCTGCCTCCTTAGGGATGGCAGACAGGGTCACTACAGAAAACTTTGTGGACTACTCTAGAAGAGAGCCGTTTCCAGTCTGCAGGCTGATGTTGATGAGGGTGGACCTCACACTGCGATGGGCAAACAAGAAGCCCTCCCTGCCAAGATGTCAGCAGGCAGAGGCTGGAGAAGAGGGAACTATCTATGGCTGTGACTAGACAGAGAAACTTGCGGGAGGCTGAATACCACAAGAACCTCCTGCACACATGCACCTGTCAACCACACCCTGCTGCCAAAGGAGTGAAAAACACCACGAAACCAGGAAGAGGACTCCTTTCTCTTCAGTGCTCTTCACTGACATACCATCAAGCCAGCTGACTGGAGAAAAGGTTATAGGATGTGGTTCCATTATCTCAGAGAGGGCACATAGCTTTGCCCTCATGAGCTTTGGAGCAGAGAGTACTAAATTCTTAATTGGCACTCAAGGTTACTATGCAACAACCCCAAGGTTTCTATAGAAAAGCCATGTGACTATGCCACACTTGCTCAGAGTACGGAGCCAACACAAATATCTTCTGAATCTATTTGGCGCATTATTATCAATGATTGTAGTCATTTTTTGGTATAGACTAGTAGTTTCATTGGGTAATAATCAGTGTCCTTTGATATCTCTTACATATCTGTTTTTTGCTCTGCTGCGTATTAGTTATTTTTTGAAGGCACCTCGTTTTATTAAATTATTTGTCTTTCTCTTTTGGCACTTTTAAAAAAAGACTTATTTATTTTTAGAGTGAAGAGAAGGGAGGAAGAAAGAGAGGGAGAGAAATATCAATGTGCTGTTGCCTCTCATGTGCTCCCTACTGGGGACCTGGTCCACCACCCAGACATGTGCCCTACACTGGGAATCGAACCAGCAACCGTTTCGTTCACAGGCCAGTGCTCAGTCCACTGAGCCACACCAGCCAAGGCCCTCTTGACATTATTAATTACTGTGCTCAGAAACCTACATTGCTAGAAGAAACAGTGTTATGTATGAGAATATAAAAATTAAAAAGATAACATATATATGAATTAAACATTTAGTTATTGACAGAATGTGGGATGAAATTTATAAATTTGACATTCAGAGATATTTTTACTATAATTATATTGCAAGTGGGAGAGGTCCTATAGCTGCTTATTATTTGCAAAATAAATTAATAGTTCCTATCCATTCTCCAGTTTGAATATATATTCTTTATATTCTCTATATTTATTCATTATATTCATAGAGAGGAAATATGTGAATATTCAAAATTAATCTCATATGATCTATATGTTGAGTTGTATCTAATAGATGAAGTTGTGTTTTAAACAATCCAGTTGTATTGACATTTGCAAACAAGCATTTACTTTGTTCATTTTTTTTCAGTTACCCATTTGTGGTTTCATTGGCTTTCAGTTGATACAGGCTGAGCATGTATGGGCGTAGCTCCAGTCCACAGATTCAGTTCAGATATTTTAAAAATATTTTATCCTCAGAATAATGAGCTACCCGGTATGCAACATTCTCACAGCAGGGATTAGCTGCTCTTAGCAGGACTAGCAGAAATGTGCTTCTTAATGCCTGTGCTCTGAACTGACAAACTCTTACTTTCACAAACATTATATTATCAAAATGAGTCACATGGTCAGCTTTATTAATTTTATACAAAGAATACTCTTCTCATACTGCTCAGAGAAAAGAAAGGTAGATTCATTGAAAAATAATATAATCTACAAAATAGCCATAAAAAACTGTGCATAAGAGAGCAGGGCACCAGCAGTTACGGTTCTGCAAGAGTTCTGGAAAAACCAGAAGTCAGAATGTAAATTATCCACACACATGGCAGAGCCACATTGTTCCTCACAACATTTCAACACTTCCAGACATGTTTCTTTGTATTTTAATGCAATTAATTAACAAATTGATAGAATTATCATTTAATGGAAAGTACCAATTTTCAATATAGGGAAAGAAATGTAAATCATCAAACTTCTGAGGACAAATCACCAAATGAAATGATCAGGAGAATAAGTCTGAATAGGAAATTAAATGATCAAAGCCAATATTAAAAAAAAAGCAGTCTGACTTCTCTGGATGATGTTGGTAAAACGGTGACTTTTGTGTCTATGGTTAAAATCTCATCATCTCAACAGCTACTTCTCTCATATAAAATGACTATGACAAGCAGCATCATAGTGATTGGAGTTTGTCTGAGTTGCTCTACCTTCACAGATATTCAGTATAAATAACAAAAAGAGAAATAAGCAACAACGTATGAGAGTGGAATATATATTTGTGACCATAATGATTAGTATCTTATGGCAATTAGAGGCAAATTTATCAACTTTGTTATTTTTTATATCAACTTCAGTTTTCTGGCTTATACCAAAAATATTTATTCTATCACAGTTCTGGAAGCTTACACTCCCAAAACAAGGTGTCAGCAGGGCTATCTTCACTATGAAGATCCAGAGGAGACTCTGGGCCATGCATTTCTCTTAATTTGGGGGGCAACCCTCAGTCCTTGACATTCCTTGGCTTACAGACAACTTACTCCAGTCTCTCACTCTGTCATCTCATTGTTCTCATTGTGTGTCACTGTCTTTGTGTCCAAATGTACCTCTTCTTAAAGGATATCATATGTATTAATTAAGGCCCTGCCTCTACCAGTATGACCTTATCTTAACTTGGTTACATTTGCAAAAGCCCTTCCAGGTAAAGTCATATTGTCAAACTCTAGTAGACATTAATTCAGGGGCTGGAAGGGTGTGGGCATGTGATACTACAAAATGACTTTAAAAAAACAGATTAATGTCTAAATATTTTGTCTGAGTATCATTGTGACTGGAAACCATATTTGATTTGGTGTCTCTGAAAACTCCATTCCAACCACGTGCATGTTGCAGGTGGGAGTGTGATATGAAGGATCTCAGAAGGGAGGGGGACAAATCTCCTGTTACAAAATCAGAAGCGACAGTTCACTGAGAATCCATGTCTCCATGATACTTCAAATCTTTCAACATAGTTAACATTTTAGAATATAATTAACTTTTTTAGTTTTTTTAAGGAAATTTCACACTGTTTCCCACAGTGTGAAACTGGCTGCACCAGTTTGCATTCCCACAGCAGTGCACTAGGGTTCCCCCTTCTCCACATCCTCATCAGCACTTGCTGTCTGTTCATGTATTAATGATGGTCATATGACAGGTGTGAGCTGATATTTCAATGTGGTTTTAATTTGCATCGCTCTGATGGCTAGTGAAGTTGAGTGTCTTTTCATATGTCTATGGGCCATCTGTATGTCCTCCTTGGAGAAGTGTCTATTCAGATCCTTTCCCATTTTTCAATTGGATTGTGTCTCCCCGGTGTTGTCATATGAGTTCTTTATATACATTGGAGCTCAAACCCTTGTCTGACGAATCATTGACAAATATATTCTCCCATGCAGTGAGTGCCCTGTTCATTATGATGATGGTTTCTTGAGCCATGCAGAAGCTTTTTAGGTTGATACAGTCCCATTTTTTAACTTTTTCTTTTATTTCCCTTGCCCTAGGAGATATATTGGCAAAAGTATTGCTCTGTGAAATATTTGAAATTTTCCTGCCTTTGTTTTCCTCTAGCCCTTTCATGATGTGACAGCTTATATTTGTCTTTTATCCATTCTGAGTTTATTCTGGTGTGTGGTGTAAGTTGGGGGTCTAGTTTCATTTTTCTTACATGTCCCAGTCCTGTTCCCCCAGCACCCTTTATTGAAGAGGCTATCTTTACTGCATTGTATGCCCATGCCTCCTTTGTCAAACATTAATTGATGTTAAACACTAAAAATGGAACTACCTTTTGACCCAGTGATTCTGCCTCTGGAATTATACCCTGAGAAATCTTAGGCACCTATTCAAAAGAATTTCTGCACCCTTATGTTCACAGCAGTGCTATTTATAACAAGCAAATGCTGGAAATAGCTTAAGTGCCCATCAGTAAATGAATGGATCAAAAGAAAAAAAACAAAAACCGTGGTATATTAGCATAATGGAATACTATGCAGCAGAAAAAAAGAAGGAACTCCTACCCTTTGTGACAGCAAGGATGGAACAGGAGAATATTATGTGAAGTGAAAAAAAGCCAGTCTGTGAAAGACAAATGTCATATGATCTAACCTATAAGAGGAATCTAATGAACAAAATAAACTAACAAACAAAATAGAACCACAAGTGTAGAAACATGGAACAGACCGAAAGTGACCAGAGGGGATGAAGGAGGGGGCTGTCACGGAAAGAAT